TATATACACACAATACAACACATTATAGTTATCCTCTAGATCTACCTATATACACACAATACAACACTTTATAGTTATCCTCTAGATCTACCTATATACACACAATACAACACATTATAGTTATCCTCTAGATCTACTTATATACACACAATACAACACTTTATAGTTATCCTCTAGATCTACCTATATAGTGTATTCATCCAGCTTAGTGTAGATATACAGGATAAAATCCATTCACGCGAAGTTAAAATATACTTATATATGCTATATGAAAATTAAATTGGAAAGATGATTTGTAAACATTCAAGATAGTATGATCATATACATGCATGCAAAGTATCCAACAAAGAAGTATATATGCAAGATAAAGTAATAAGAATGAGTGTCTGTAATGCCCTTTTTGGGCCCCATGTATTTATAGACTCCTTTAATTGTTCAAAGACGTCCGATTGTGTTACATGCGCAAAAACTAAGGCAAATGTTTGACTGAAAGTGATTTCTAGGGTACCAAAAGAGGTAGGTTGAATCACAAATATAATTTGCTGTTTTCAAATTGAGCTCAAACAAAATCACACTTTTTTTCGAAACATGTGTTAACTAAACAGACATATTAAAAGATTGAAAAATGACAGAAATCCAACCGTCACTTAAAGATTCTTTATATAAAACAGAGGATTAAGTCCGCGGCTGTCTTAAGGTATTTTTCAAATGAATAGTGATTTGTTTTCTCAATAATTTTCTTTCTAATTTGTATTTGCAGGTGATATTTGCAACTTTACTCATTTGAGTCCACTTACATAACACGTATATTCACTATACACTTTCCATTTGTTTTATACTGCGTTATGGCTTCTGGACACATCTCAATTTTTTTTTCTTCAACATATTTTTTTTTTTTTCCACATGTTATTTTACAAAAGACAGTACAAAAAACACGCCTTGCATACACTCTTTCTCTCGTACTTTGGATATTTAAGTATAACTTTCGAATTCCCCTCCGAGAAGTGCATTACACATGTATGACCTGTGTATTTGTGACCGTAGCGGTCTGGAGTTGGAATGGATTATTCGAAATGGGATAATACACATCTCGGGCGCAATCGAATTAGGTACAAGTTATAGGTGCATATGTGAATAATACACAATATTTGGTAGATAAGCTATGGTATCATTAAGTTAGAAAAGAGTCTCCATTTTTGGAGAAAGGTATTTTGTTTCCCTTTACATGTTGCAATATATTTTCCACTTTATAATTGTACACTATATCTCTCTTTACACTTTCTATGAAAAGTGCATCACCTTTCATACGTTGTTTGTAAATGTAATATTTAACAATTAGCATAATAATGTTCTGCACATGATATGTTTTACCTATTTTCCCAAATACAATATCTTTATTTGCAAAGTTAAGGTTTATGAGAAAATCCAGTTTTCAAGAAGTAGCCAAAGCCTCTCTACATGCTCATATTCAAAAAATATGTGTAGTAAAGTTTCTTCAGATTGTTTGCAGAATGTACAAAGTGGGTTATTTTTCATTTTCATTTTTGTAAGAAAAGTGTTAGTTGCAAGTATTCTATGTATAATTCTATATTGAAACCACTGCAGAATCACATCTGTTGTTATGTTGAAAACTATAGTTTGTAATTTTATTAATTCAGTATTTTCATTTAATTTTGGAAATAAAAAAAGTACATGTCAGCCACAAAGGCGTAAGTGAGCTTGTCAAGCCGTAGATCACTGTATGAGGTGGGTGGAAGTTATGGACTCGACAAAATTCATGATAGGAATAAAGACGGTTATTTTCTATATGAACCATATCGGATAAAAATTGAATTTCTTTATCACACCTTCCTTGATAAAACAAACTGTGGTGTTATCTACCTTTATCTGTGTATTGAACCATAAAAGTAGTTTTAGCAGGTCAGGGGGTTTAATATTAAGTTTTATGATATATTCAGCAAATGTTCTAAAAACTTCCACCCAAAAAGGGTTTTTGAATCTTTGTGATAGTCTTATGTAATAGTTGTCACCCAAAGTTGTCAACTTGTTAACATTTGTATTATTTTAGTAAGTTTGTCTTCTGGTTTAGGTGAGCTCATACATAAATGAGTCAATTTTGGAATTAATAGAATTTGACTACTGTAATCTTACCAAGGACAATCAGTCTTCTTTTATACCAATGTTTTAGTGTATTACTGATATCATTAAGTTTGGCTTTAAAATTTAATTTTGGTATATCTCTTCAAGTTTTAAGCTAAATAGGATGCCCAGTACCGTGAACGGTTCATTGGTCCTCTCAATGTTCCACTCATTACATAGTCTATTTATGGCATTTTTTCTTGAACCTATCCAGACTGCCTTATTTTTTTCAAAATTTGGGGTCGAGCCGGAATACTTCGAAAACTGGTCAAGAAGATCAAGAGTTTTCTTAAGAGATTTTTCCATACCATTCAAAAATATACCAGTATCATCAGCATACTGAAATAGTTTATACTCTTTGTTAACAAACGTAATACCTTTAATTTCTTGATTAGACCTTATTAGGATACCCATTATTTCTACACACAGTAGAAATATATATGGCGAGATCGGATCGCTTTACGGCAGCCCCGCCCTATATTAAAATATGTTGATAAAAAACATTTTGAAGTACACATAACTTAGCGTCGTTATACAAAATGCTTATCCATTTAGTAAATTCAGGACAAAACTTAAAAAACTCTAGCACATTATACATAAATTGCCAGGACACTGAATCGAATGCCTTCTCGAAATCGATCAATAATAGAATTCCTGGTGTGAGATCTTTTTCAGTATAGTACAAGATGTCATAAAGTAGTCGGGTATTTTCCGCTATATATCTACCAGATAGAATTCAGGGGAAAATCCGTCAGAACCTGGAGATTTATTATTTTTTAGTGATTTTACTGCGGATAGGGCCTCGGTATGTGTAATCTTCCCTTCTAGCATATCAGCTTCTTCCATATTTAACTTGGGAACATCTAGATTACCAAGAATTTCATCTGATTTAACATTTATTAAAAGTTCATCCTTACTACTGCAAAGAGTTTGATAGAAATATTTAATCTGTTCAAGAATATCTTCCTGGTCTTTAACAGTTTCACCTGACTCTAATCTAACATGGGTAACAGATTTATTTACATAGTTTATTTTTTCGAGGCTGAGAAAGTACTTTGTGGGTTTCTCGCCTTCTTCAATCCACTTTGCCTTAGATCGGACAAAAGCGCCTTTGAATTTTTCTTTACGCACATCTTCGAGTTCTTTCTTGGCGTCGCCTAGAAGTTCTAATATTGTCAGGGAGTCTGGTGACTCAGCTGTAATATTCTCTAGTAGGACAATCTGTGACTGTAACCGTTTACCCGCTGCAGTATTTTCTCTTTTAATTTTTGCAGAATATGGAATTGTCATAGCTCGAATAAAAAAATAGCTGATCATTTATAATAAACTGGATATCCGTGTCATGTATTTCTTTTAAGTTTACCATATTGTAAACGGGTAGCATATATATCTCTTTAATTTTAAGAATTGTTCGTTTCAATTTATTAATGTAGTTAGGGTCTTTTAGAAGTGAATTGTTAAACTTCCAGAAGCCTTTACCTTTTTTAAAATCGGTTAATTTTAATTCAATTTCTACAGACGAGTGTTCCGTTTTATAACCAGGGAGTATGCTAATGTTATTTACTAGTGAGAATAACTCTTCGGAAATCAGAAAGAAGTCAAATCTGGCTTTCTTTATAGGGTTTTTCCTAAACCAGGTATAGCGACGTAGGTCTGGGTTATGTACTCTCCAAGGATCTTTGAGTTTATCTATTTCTTTGAGCTCAAGGAGAGTATTTCGAGATCTTGGATTATTTAATGTGTTATAGTTATGACAATCAATATTTGGGTCCTGAACTAGGTTTAAATCTCCACAAACAATGCTAAAATCACAAACTGATTCTAGTAGAATGCTATTTAAGGTTTCATAGAACTCAGGGGTGTCCCTATTTGGACCATATATATTAATAAGTAGGATTGTATATTCTTTTTCAATTTCTAGTTCTAATGATATTAAATTACCTGCCTCATCAGCATTTTCATTTAATATTTTCACTTCGAAATTATTACTAAATAGAAATGCAACTCCTCTTGAATGGCTTGTACCATGGCTGGTATAAACATTGTACCATGGCTGGTATAAACATTGTACCATGGCTGGTATAAATATTGTACCCCCATTGGGCTCTAATATACGACTGCTCTGTTTGTGTGAAATGGGTATCTTGAAGGCAATATATTGAACTTTTTTTGTCTCTCAGGTATTTAAAAACATCCCTACGTTTGGCTTTATCGCCCAACCCTCTACAGTTTAGGGTTAAAAAATATAAACTAGACATAATATATCTGTATAATTATTTTACAAGCACATATACCAAAGTTATTGTACATTTTTACGCTAAAAAAGTACATGTTTCTGCAAAGTTTCTCACATCTTAGACACACAAAACAAAAATTACATAAAATGCGATACAACATATTGTAAATTCCGTGATCCAGTTGGCTCACTCCCAAAAGTGAGTTTAAATTTTTCCCTGGGAAAATTACAGGGTACACATATATACACATATATACACATATATACACATACACATATATACACATATATACGCATACACATATATACACATATATATGTAAATAAAGCCTAGCTGGCTATTTAACTAATAGGTACCCACCGCATATGTCCTGCATGGGTCTTGGACATGACATAGTTATTATATATATATAATACATCTTAATTTTTAACAATTCCAAAACAGTACGCAGGAACCATGTGTATGACCCATAGGGGTATATTAATTGTATATTAGGCACTCGCCCATTGCAAAACCGATGCGGTAAGGTAAGCCCAAAAAGTACATGTAGAAAAATCTACTATTTTATTAACCATACGAGTATTGGATAAAAAATGTGAAAACTTGAGATAATTTTGACTAGTATTTCATCTCTGCAGTTTCATAGTTAACAAGTAGACTATTACTACTCAAGTTTTTTAGGGCCAATGTTAAACTGTCATCTGTCTGCCTATCCAATCCCGACCAAACATCTTTTACTTAGGTAAGGGTCATGATCACAAGGTAGGGTATTGTATAGGTGGGGGTTTTTAAGAAGAGAAATAGTGGGTATTGAGTTAGTCGGGTTTGGGCGAACAAACTACACTTTAAGCCCATTCCCCTTTTTGTCTGGGAATGTCCATGGGACGAGGAATACAGTTAGCTTAATATTTTTGGAATGCAGAACATTTGGTATAAGACATAATTAATTTAATAGTAAGTCTGTGTTTCAATTTGACAGTTCAAGTTCATTACTCGATTGAACATTTCTTCCATTTGTCCTGGGCCGATATCCTGGTCATTAGCCAAACATCGATCTTACTTTCCATAACCACTGTTTGCACTTGCTTGGTTTTTCTTAGCTGGTAGCCAATTTTGAGAAGTTCATATCTGTTGGTCTTGAGGTGGTCGGTTAATCAGTACGAACAGTGATCTTTGAGGCTCTGTCAATATTTCTCGCGTTTTTTAGGACAAGATCTCTGTTTCTCATGCACACAAACCTCACTATGACTGTCTCGGGTCTAGTGTCTCTCTCCTCGCGATCGTTTCGATTGTTTTCTGATGTTTTGCGTCTAGGTACCCTATATGTGTTATGTATTATGATCTTTTCAACAATCTTCCCGTCAAATTTCATACCGATACACATAAGTTCCCGAATTTGTAGTTCCGTCGCTTTGTCACCATCTGGGAGACCAAATATCGAAACATTATATTTCCTACTTCTACCATCCTGGTATTTCTGTTGGTTCTCGAGATATTTAATATTTTCCATTAGTTCTTGCTTTACTTTCAGAAGTTCGGCCACATTACTCTGCATATCGTCGAATTTGTTTGAGCAAAAATCCGCCGACTGCTTCATCTCGTAAACCGCATTTTTCATCGTGTCAACTTCGTCGTCAACTTTCTGTTCATTCCATGCTCACATTGTTCTACAGTAGCATCGAAAGTGTCAATTTTTGCGTTTACTTCCCCTATTTTGTTACATAATTTGCTATCAAGAGCTGTGATAAGTTCTTTCAAATTTTGAACTGCTTGAGCTGCTCGTCCGCCATCTTGGTTTCTGTCTGTTCTACAGTGCACGTGACCGAGTTTTTTCTAGTTCATTGGTTCATTGATTGTGACACCGTTGTAAGCGTCAGTCGCTTCTTGAGGCGCTTCTTAATTCTGTCCACTTCACTTCCGGTTGCATTAGGAGGTATTGAAGAAGACTTGTTTCTCGATAACTAGTGAAAATTATTTACAGGTGCAGTGGGTGATAACAAGGGTAGTATAATAATTTCAAATAAGATAATGTTTTTCTGTTTATTTTTAATGTGCGATTATGATCGTTTGATAAATGCTCTTTTCTGCCCTTGTCCTGGGAACCTTTTATCGGGAGAAACAAATCATGTACATGCAATAAATGGTGTTAATGTCATACTTGCGTTACGATTATTCATAAAATAATTTGAAACCAATAAATGGGCAACTATTTCAACAAGAACGTTAACCCTTTTACAACTTCATTCTTCACTTTCGTGAAGTATTCGTCATATCAAATATAACAAATGTATCTTTCCACTTATTTTCATTACGTGCTATCTATATATAGTTACTGTATAGTGTAGAGGATCAGGTTTGTTGTTAGAGCTTGTGCCAAACCCCTTACATTGACCTTTTAACATTATATGTTTAAATGAATGAGGAAGCACCAATTCAATGGTTCGGTGCATGAAACAAAATATAGGAAACATTAACTGAACTATTTGGTCATGTTGTCCACTTAGGACCCATTAGTGGAAATAAAGGTTAAAAAGTATCTTTAAATAGTTCTGAAACAAATTTAAAAATACAACACAAGGGGAAATGGGTCTTCCAAACATTTTGTAACATTATTTGCTTACATCTTTGGCTACATTTAATTCCTTAGGAAGGAGTTCAAGTGGACCTTGCCAGAATGAATTTTAACTACAAATTATCACGTGTTATATTTTAAGCATTTGTTGTGACGCTATCTAGTTCAGCATTCAAATCAATTAAAACGTAATTATGTGTTAATCAATCGGTTTATTAACACTTACGCTTATAATTGCATGTACATTCAAATTCATGTACAACATAAAGTTAACAGATGATGATTATGATACTGAAACGTAAAAACTACTACATCTATATACAATGTATATCAATCAAAAAGACATATTAGCATATTAACGCCCTATATCAGCATATAGATCAATGGCAGAGACGAGCCGGGCAAGCCCGATCTTAATGTTTGCGTACAAATAGTAAAGATGATAGCATTGACAATGAAATCATTTTTGATATTATGTAAACCACTACCTTTTGGATGACAATGAGTTATTACTCAGCTGTATAGTAATACCATTTGTCTACGAAATAGATTATTCCAGGCCAAGATCTACTAGATTAATACCTACTATTGATGAAATAATAAATAAGGTAAGCTCGCTCTAAACATCAATTACTTTACAGATAAAATGTCGTAGAAACAGACCAACTATACATCACACTTCTACTATAACTCTTCTACTGGTAATGTGGTTAAAATAACTAATCTGTTACAGTAGTAAGTAGGTAAGTGGTTATATAGCAACTAAAAACTGTAAACAATGCATGTAGGTCTCAGAAGTAATACCGACGGCGTGATCCAATAGGACACTTTATCCGAACAACAAAACATGTACTTTAAATAGAGACATAAACAAATAAGTAATAACAACAGTACAGACAAAGGAATTTGTCAAACTTTCAAGGCAATCCACCCATTTACATGTACAGGAATGTTTGTGTCCATAAATCAACATGTTTGGCTACTCTACATTTTTGCTTGGTTCCTTGTTACTCCGTGCGGACCACAATTCTTGAATCCTACCTTATATACATGTGTTCATTGGCTGAGGGAATCGTTGTACAATATTTCACAAAATACCACTAAAGTAGATGACAGACTCGTTCAGCGTGGCAGGCCAATGCACATTATCATTCAAATTGTGTGGCATGAACATTGCTTAAGTGTACAGTACAATGTAGTATTAAAACAAACCATTATTGTTTGGCATGAACATTGAGTTAGTGTACAGTACAATGTAGTATTAAAACAACCCGTTATTGTGTCGCCTGAACATTGCTTTAGTGTACAGTACAATGTAGTATTAAAACAACCCATTATTGTGTGGCCTAAACATTGATTTAGTGTACAGTACAATGTAGTATTAAAACAACCCATTATTGTGTGGCATGAACATTGATTTAGTGTACAGTACAATGTAGTATTAAAACAATCCATTATTGTGTTGCCTGAACATTGATTTAGTGTACAGTACAATGTAGTATTAAAACAACCCATTATTCAAATCCATCCATCCAATAACTCCGGGTGTGCATGAAATAATTTCTGTGAGCATGCGCACAACACATTCCGCTGACTCATCTGTGTTTTGGTTTTGTCCGTTGTAAACCACTTTGTATACGTTGTTCAAATCATACGAATCGAGCCCTGGTCGAAATTGACGAACGGCCTTATGGAGATTTGTACAAAGTAGCCAGTCCTTGCTAATTGTTTTATGTAGTCTCTTTAATTCATTTTTGATGACCCTATAATCGTATAAATCTCCTGAATAAGACACAAGACATACTGGTCTAGGCAGTCGTTCTAAAAACTTGTCTATTATCGTCACGTCTTCGTCACCCATCACGTGGCCATGTTCAACAGAGCTATCCAGCAATCCTGCAACAAAAGGAAACGTTAAGTATCAATCAACACCAACATACTGTTCAGAAGTATGATAGGCAATGAGTACAAAAAACTTCCAGAAATGTCAACATCATATATTTGCAGCTTTGACAATGGGGGATTAATAGATATTTCCTATTACTTGTATATGCGTTAATTGTAAATTGCTTCTATCATTTGAGCTAATGAATTTTCTTTTCCTCCTTTAAGGAAGATTGTTACAAATTCAAATACATGTAGTTAGCGAGCATTCACGTACGATGTACATGTATCACCCAAAATGGGCTATATATACACTGACATTATAATTTGTTTATTCTTTTCGCAAAATCATCTTTTAAAGTTCTATTCCAAATGGCTTGATTTCAAAATGTACAGTTACTTATCGGATGGCATTCGGAAACGTGAAAATATTGTAATGTAGTATGTAACGCAATGAAATCAGAACTTTTATGATCGAAAGAACGCAAAAACAATGTTGCATTGTGTGATTTAGATCCATCGTGTGCTACCTTTACTTTAATTATATTGACCGCAGAAACAGTGGGACAAGTAGAACTATTTAACTGACTGTTATCGTATAATTCTATCATATTGGCACTAATCTTTTATATATCGGTAAAATATGTGAACTATTTGATTTTCCTTACGCACAATTTCCAATGCTTGAGAGATACATCCTCGCGTGATTAAATCTTGCTCCGAATATCGTGATTAACATGATAAATGTTTAGCGCTGATTTATAATACAGAGTTTCCAGTGATGCAGATTGATGACATTGTTGTGTCGATTTTATGTTTGGCATCATGATTTGATTTGATTATTGAATTAGATATGAAGGTCTTATTTATAATGCTCATTAGTGTAAGCTGTTGTTTTGTTGCAACTTCCCCGATTGTCGCTGTGCGGGTGTGACATTAATTGGATTTTGACCAAGATTTACATGGCTGATGTCGTCAATAAAGCGGGAGACGCTCATCCTTCTGGACCATATGGTCTTCCGGAAGACGAGATGGGTTATAAATGATACCTTATAGCTGCTTTAATTAGGGTGAACCCATATTTTAGAGGTTCATAATTTTTTACTTTGACAACTCTTGCTTACCAAATTCATTTGCTTATTTGTAGTTATACTGTACCTGTATTTTGCATGGCTCTGATAGGTATTGGTGATATTTTGGGTTTGAAAGTCAGTGTCAGTCTATTTAGGGCTCTGGGTGGCCCTTGTCCGGCCAACAGAAGAATATCTGAACGCTCGATGGCTAGTAGACTTATCTCGAGAACACTTGGATTTAACGGAAGAAAAGCGCTGCCGGTAAGACCAGTAATCACGAATGTAGAAATCTCTTGTTGATTATTTGGTACATACGCTACTTTGCTCCTTTTTACAGGCGAACGCAGAGCGTTGTTTTTTTCGCTTTCCATTTTCCTTACTTTGCAATCTGCAATAAAAGTAGACAAAAACTCACAATGTCAACATACAATTCATTGAATATGGTTAATTCATCGTCGGAGGGGTCATATTTTGAAATTGATAATAGAAAAGATCCCCGTACCACTACCAAAAAACTGTAAATAAGTATTGGAAACTTTAGCTTTGATCAATCATTTCTGAAAAGAAAAGTTCCTTTGCGGGACTCTTATGAGAAATGATGAAGATGAAATAAACAAAATATAATCAACAACAGTGTTCTGGGTGTAAAAAGTCACCGAGGACAAAACCCAGATTCGAACCCTAAACTTTAGACTAGCGAGTTATCGATTAAATCGACTACGCTTCTTGCTCGACGGAATTGTCCAGGCCAAATTGTTCTACAGTTATATCCAAAACGAAGCTAAAGGGAGGTAACTGTATAGGAAACCAAAGTAGAGTGGGAGAGGGATCCTAAGGTTAAGTAACTGTATAGGAAACCAACGTAGAGTGGGATAGGGATCCTAAACACATCACTGTACAAAATCACAAAGTCACACGGATTGAAATCATGTGGGGGTTTTCAAATTGGAATTTTATGAATTGATTCGAATTGGCAGTATTCATCAGGTTTGTGTCTTTCCAATATCCAATAACTGCAACAACATATGGCAAGCCAACTGAACATCTCTTCAAGTAGCAGTGTCGATCCTGTAACTCATCGAATTATATAACAAGTTTTATATCATTATATAAAATAAAGATGAGATATCGTATTTAATATTATTAGACTCTTTCGTGCCCAGGGGTGTAGGATAGGAAATTACACCCGAGGGGTTTTCAAATTTTGTAAAACCCAAGGCTTTGTCGAGGGTTTTGCCAAATTTGAAAATCCCAAGGATGGAATTTCTTTAGTGTGCACCTTTGGACGTGAAAAAAAAGTTTTTTCACCTCATTCCTACTACAATGATAAGCTCAGAAATAACAAAACTGCGTTTGGACTTTCTACCATTTTTAAAATATCAACTTTTCCCCCTGACCATTTTAGACGTAAACGAATCAGTCAGCGAGATTAAGCAAACCCCACATATGCAAACAATGCTTGTGCAGAGAAATTAATCTCATTTTTCTAATGTGTAAAGTAAATGTTTCGTAAAAGGTTTTGATTTAATCACGTCGCCTCTTCCGCATTGCGCCATCGGATTTTTCTTTTTCCAAACTCGTCACGTCACGTCATTGTTGAGCCATTGTGACATCACGTCACGTGAAATGGGGTGTAATATTGAAATTTCCCACATCGGTAAAATATAAGTATATAAGATATCAAATATATTATATAAGATATCTTATACCGTGTATCAGACTTATCATTTACTATATCAGATATCCTAAATAGTATATAAGATTAATAGAATCTTTCACCCCCTTGAGGGTGAGATCGGGGGATCTCAACCCGAGGGGGGAAGATTCTTATGTTGCCAAACACGAGGCTTTGCCGAGTGTTTGGCAACTTAAGATTCTTTCCCCGAGGGTTGAGATTTCTTTATCTTACCAACAAAGGGGTGCATGATTCTTTTTCTCTTACCCTGTTCTCCTAATGTGTATCATAGACACAATATAATGATAACGTTACATGCTAAATTCAGGGTTGACGTGACGTTGATGGATTGTTGACGTGACGTCATTTTATTGTTGAAGTGACGTCATACCATTGTCATATACACATGTCCAGGGTAAGAGAATAATAGAATCTTTCACCCCCTTGGGGGTGAGACAGGGGGATCTCAACCCGAGGGGTAAGATCCTTAAGTTGCCAAACACGAGGCTTGCCGAGTGTTTGAAAGCTAAAGAATATTACCCCGAGGGTTGAGATCCCCCGTCTTACTCCCAAGGAGGTGAATGATTATTTTTCTCTTACCCTGTTACCCTCTTATCTAAATAATACTGCCGTTACATCAATTCAAGACAATGTTGATACGATGCGATTGAATTGTCGACATGACGTCATTGTATTATTGCCGTGACGTCATGGTATTGTTGTTTTGACGGCATAGAATTGTTGAGAACGTGCACAGAGCACGTGTAGCTTGTCTCAACCCTAGGGTGAGATAAGAAAATCACACACCGGTAAAATGGTGGATATCCCTGTCCAGGGTAAGAGAAACATGTATCTCATATAATGTATATAATTATTGAAATCTCGTTGCTATATACATTTAGATATATATTAAATAGAATGAGATTTCGTGGCATTAAAAACCATTCGGACTCGCCTCTGTTATTGTGGCCAAAGCAGAAGCTGACATTTCCAATACTTCCGGACGGTGAAACTTCATTTTCGACATCTTGTTGAAATCTTGTTCCTATATAAGATAACTTATTTAGTAACGAGATTTTAATTATATAAGCTATCTGATATAGCTATATAAGATATCTTGTATATTATATTACAAAATATCTTCTATGTTATAATATACAATATCTTAAATAGAAAATTAGATATATTATATACGAGATATCTTACAAACTATTTAAGATGTTTTATATAGTATATAAGATATCTCATGTTATATAAGATATCTGATATATTTGTTTACATGGTCGACATTGCTCCTTGAATAAATGTTAAGCTGGCTTGCCATAACAACATGTAAAAAATATTGGTGTCACGCTAAAGTTATGTACACAAATTTAAGACGTGATAGGTAATTCAAATCAGGTATTGAAAATATAACAGCATACATGTAACTTTGAATGACTTTGGTAATGAATTTGTGATGAACGTCTTTTTCTTTTTTTATAAAGGAATATTCGTAATGAAACGAACAAATATGGAGACAACCGTGTGAAAGCCTAAGACTGTTTAATACGACAATAGGTGATAGAAAACTACGGGCTTCAGGTGTACAAGTGGCATAACTGGCTTGTAACAATTTCTGTAGAGAAAAACAAATATTTAAATAGATCAATCAATCAAACTATTATCTTCTTTACCTGTACCCCTAATCTTCCGCAAATATATTAGATAAAAATTGACATTTTCTTTTAGAAGTAAACACAGCCTTTGAAATATATAGTAAACAGTACTGGAGGTGAAAAAGTGAGCAAAACATGTTAAAATATCTAAACAAAATATGGGTTTACGTTTAAGGTAAACAGGGCGTTTTCATTTAACATTTTAGCTACCAAATGAAAAAAATGGAAATCGAAGGAAAAGAAAAGCATATTTACGTATTCGCCAAGGATAGCGATGAACGGCAACAACAACTCTGATCAGCATTTCTTGGTCAATTATTATTTTATGTTTCCGGACTCTCTAGGTGGAGGCATCTATTATCAAGTTTTCCCGTTTTCAGTTATGAGACCCAATTGATTTAAATATGTTGTTAGTCATTTTATTTTTCATTAGCATGAAAACTATTTAAAGCAATGTTCGTATTTCTTTTTGTGATAATGGAAGGGAGATAACTGTAACTCATTCATATATATATATATGTGCTTACCTATGGATTCTGTGTTGTGTTGTATTGACGGTCAGTTACGATCCTGGTTGTTAGCAGATGTGCACTTTTACATGATAACTGGCTTATTAAAAATCATATCTGTGATAATATGCATACCTCGGAATCACTTGGATACAGTACTCTTCATTCAACGTCGTCTTACATACATTCACATTCCATCCTGATATATCGTATTATCTCCCTTTGTGACTGAAAGGTTAGTGTGAAAACATGATTGGTTAGCTTGATAAATCATTTTGAATCAATTCAGATATCTTTTCAAAAACAGTTAACTTGTTTTGAGTGTTGTGTTAAGAGGAACAGCATAATATCGAGTTGTAACTTGTGTATTCACTATTTTTAAATCACGATTGTAACCGAACAATACTTTTTAGTTAAAGGTATCGAGCTTACAAAACTATCAATATTTTGACTGCGCATCCGCAGTAACATAGTGCGTTCACCAGACAGTGGTATATTTGGATCAATACAGTTAAATGTTGCTACTAGGTGCGGGAAACCTACTCGTGTGCCACACAGCAATGTTTAACAAACATAATGAAACGAGAATTCTACAGAAGTTAATGCGTCGTCTGCTCAATCCTGGTGAACATTCTGATTTGCATTCTAGATCAAAACAGAACTTGAGTAAAATCTTCATATCTTAAGCAAATGTAGGAAATTTCATAGACATCATGCATTCCTTTACTTTTATCACAAGGAAACCATGTCATTTTTCACAAAGTCCAAGATGGCCGCTGGCGGCCATGCTGATTTACAGATATGGTTCAAAATCAAAATACAGTGGGTTTTTCATCAAGTCTGTGTAGAAAATGTTATTGAAATCAAAGCATTCCTCAATGATTTATCTCACGAAATCATATGTCCGCACAGTAATGACGATAAAACATGTTGCGATTAACATAAGAATTACATATCCGTGCATATCGTGAACCTAAATGCATTGACACATGTCAAGCTCAAAAATGACAACATTGAATGTTATGATATCACATTATCTTAAGTTAAGTAATACATCTAGGCATCACGCTTCTCAAATTAACATTAACTCTGTATATTTCAAATACGTTACTTAGACATGTGTTAACGATTTTTTACACAACATCTTGATTTGAGTCTGGTACGCCTCTCAACACAAGGAAAAGAGAAAGCTACGTGAACACTCCAAGTAGCCTAGGTATGCAGATAGAATTATAAACAGGAGCGACTACAGTGTAGATGAAGACTATTAACGACGAAGAATCATAATCATTCCAGAACAACAGAAGTTTGTGTAGTAAAGAGTAACATACCTTGAGACTAGGGGTCTGGAGAATGATCGATGTCGTCTACAAACTATTGTGTATGAGCCTGTGGAATGAATTAAATTCTTCTGCGAAGTCCGTGTCCTCATTCGATATAGATGATATCAAGTATCGGGGAAATGGGTATTTCCAATGAAAGTATTTAAAAATCAATGTGTTACCTTATTCAGGCATTAGTCCGAGCCAGTACTG